CATAAGAATGACTAATGACCTAAATACCCTTATCATTAATATGTAAGTTACATTTTAACCAAACCCAAAGATGCAACATTATTGGTTGATGTGGGTTAGCCAAGTTTGCACAAAATATTGGGTTAGTATTTGAACCACCCTCTATATATATATATATATATATATATATATATATATATATATATAACTATTATGTAATAAAAATGAGGGAGGTAGTTTACCTGGAATCTTGAAGGGTCGAATTTGTTGGGGTGTGGGAAGAAGTCAGAGGAGTAGTGGATGGTTCTAAAGAGTGGAAGAACCTTCCAACCTTTTGGTATCAAATAACCTTCCATTTCTACGTCTTCCACTGCTTCTCTATATGTAAACGATAGTATACTCGCTGCCCTCAGAGTCTCTTGTATCACCTGCATCCCCATTTTTAATACATATTTCTTTTCCTAATTTATATATTGATTTATAGTTGAGATTGGATCTCACAATTATCACAAATTAACCGGTTCTCTCTTTAATGGATCCTTTTATATATATATATATATATATATATATGAAAGTTTGGTTGAGAATCGGATTTTCATCACAAACTGGGGAACCAACAAGAGGACGACATGTGTTCCTATCCATCATATATAATGGATGTGGATTTTCTACTAAATTCACAATAAAATGATCTGTCCATATTCAACATGTATATGAACACGTAATGCCTTCTTAGTGGTTGCTTAGTTCATAACGGAAATGCGGTTTTCAACCCAAGTAAATGGAGAAATCATTTACGTACATACCCGCGTGGTGAATGGCATGCGTCTTGTATCGTCCCATGTAATTCCACGATTGGCTTCAACTCTTTTGCATCGTATTTCTTCTTGTTCCCTCTGAACACATATCGATGATTAATCACTTTTCATATACTATAAACAAATTAAATCATCAAATTGTTAAATTAGAAATTTCTAAGAAAATATACCATGTGACATTATTTAGACGGAAAAATTCTAGCTTTGAAAAATCAGGAAAATTATTGTTTTTTCTTATTTTGGGGAGTAAATTTGTAAAAAGATGATTTATTTTACATTTTTTTAATTAACCTAGATATCTAACCCGCTATGCGAGCCGACTAATCCCAGGCCGACCACCTGCTTTGCAGATAGCCCGAGGTCACCGCATTTGAACCTCCATGGACACAAGGGGATTTTTATTCCACATTGGATTTGAACATGTGACCTCCTGGTACTTTTGATATTTGGAGCCAAGCTCAAACCAATTAGATACCACCTTATTTATTTATTTATGTTTGTATAAAACGAGGAGGAATTGAAGGTAAAAAGAGTATATACCCTGACAGCATCCAAGAGATGAGGATGATCATGCAAATATTTAAGAAGCCATGTAAGAACACTTGCAGTCGTATCATGAGCTGCAAATATAACCCCAATTATGTTATCTGCAATCTGTGATTCATTCATTTTCATCTTCACTCCTTCTTCTTCATTTGAAGATAGAAATGCACCCAACAATCCTTCACCATTCTCCCCACTCTCCTTTCTCTTCTCTATCATCCTTCTCAATTTCTCACTCAGACCCTTTCTTGCCTGCAGCAAATCCAAATTCATTAACTTTCTGTTTTTAGAAAGTGTGGATTGCATGATATGTATATATGTATATATATATACCTTCATTGCTTTGTTGAATGGAGTTCCAGGAAGATCCAAAGGCATGGAGTTGTATCCTTTCTCTAGACATTGATACAAACCCTTTATTCCTTCCATTTCTGCACTCTCTAACTTGTTCCCAAATACTGATATCATTGCCACTTCAAATGCATACTATATTTATATATACATACATATCATCAAAACAAATTACATTACTATATTTAGATGTCACATTTTCATTTCGAAGCTAATGGAAATGAATGATCAGTATATGTATACCCTTTTCATCTCTTGCAGGGTGTTGATGGTGTTATCATGTTCCCAAGTGGGAAGAAGTCGGAGCACAATATCTTCGATCTGGGAAACGGATCGTTTGATGGTGGATGGAAGAAATGACGATTGAATCAACTTCTTCAGATGGGAATGGTATGGACCTTGGTGAAAGAAGATGGCTTCTGGGCCTATCATCTTCTCTTTGCTTGGAGGATATGTAGGTTTGAACATATGAGACTGAGTCACCAACACGATTTTCGCAATTTCAGGACTCGATATCATCACACATGGGCATCCTAATATGTGCGTCTTGAATATTTTCCCGTACCTATACGTATCAGATTAAACGATCTTTATCATTCCATTTCTTTAATTACCAAAGAAAACAACGTACAATCCTAATATATATATATATATATATATATATATATATATATATATCCAGGTGTCAGTTTGAGAAATCAAGAGGCCACAACGTTCCGATGATGCAATCGGTAAACCAATAATAGAAATGGATAAATTAAGTGACAAACATACGTGTTTCAAGATTGCAAGAGAGAGTAATACTAAACCTTTTTTCGCGGTTGGAGAAGAAGGAATTTGGGTTTTCGGTGTAGAGCTTGAGAGTTTCACCTATGTAAGGCCAACCCACTGAACCTGGCGGTAGCCGGAGTCTGTCCGGTTGTGTACGGTGGTGGCTCCTCCGTATCAGACTATATACAGTTAGTATGAACAAGAAAAGGAAGGTTACGACAAGGCACGTTAGAGGTGGTGGAGATACGACGGAGGTGATCATTGAAGAAAGCATGGTGGTTGTGCGGTGGCAGGAGAGAAGAGTGGTGTTAAATTCAGTAATGAATGAAGATGAATTCGTAGTTGGTTTGATGAAGTTGGGGGATGGGGAAAATGGGATTATATAGACCATGNGGTCAAAGTGTTACTCAAGATTATACGCATTTTAATTCTATTTAAATTAATGATAATATCTGAATGTTGGTGGAGCCTCCTTCTCTATTTCCATGGTTATTTTAAAAAATAATTTAATAGGGTTTTATATATTTTTAAATGGTATTAGAATCTACTGTAAAAAGTAGTTTAAATTTAACTGATGTCGGACTATAATCCCCTTTAAAGTTAGACAGACACAAACTGTCCTACAGAGTCAGGAGGCATTAGACAGATCGAGTACCTGAATTCAAAGATTTCGTCTTTGATGCCATGTAATATTTATTCCGAGGAGCTTTTTTAATTTGTCGTAGGTGGCAAAAAGCTTGTAAAATTCTTCTCAATTAGTTCCATTGCGGATGCTTTGAAAGAATGAAGAGTAAGAGGCTGTTTACCAAACACTTACCCGGTAAGTGCTTACCAGTAAAGTTTAACATTATCATTTACATACTGGGTAATATTTTAGTCCATCAATACGGTATTGTATACAACAATTTACCCGGTAAGCACTTACCATGGTAAGAGTCGTCGCCTCCACTTACCGGGTAAGACTCTTGGTCCTTGTATCGCTCTTACAGGGTAAGATTCTTGATCTTTACCATATTCATCCGGTAAGGTAATGTGACTTGGTGTTCACTTATCTAAGTAAGCGTTTTGTTACATTTTTCTTCCTTGTGGTTTTTTGAAAATTGTTACTTTTTGTAAATGTAGTTTTGATATTACGATTTTCATCTACATAGTTTATATAATTCATTGTTATTTTTGTCTTTATGACTTAAAATTTATTGTTGTTTTCTTTCTTGTGGTTCACAATTGATTGCTATTTTAGTCCCTCATATTTAAAGGAAGGAGGAGTTAGCCTTAAGGATTAAAAAGACAATCGGTAACAAACTATAGGGACAAAAATTGCAATTTCAAAACCACATGGACAAAATCCATAATTTTTAACAAACCACATGACTAAATACCGAATTTAAACAAGTTTTTACGAAACAATAATAGTATTTAAGAATAAATAACAAATCATCAAAAATCTGTAAAAACTATATGGCAAAGACAAAGACTTTTTTTCATTAACCTGAATATCTAACCCGCTATGTGAGCCGACTAATCCCAGAGTAATCACTTGTTTTACGGGTAGTCTGGAGTCACCGCATGTGAACCTCCGTGGCCACAAGAGAATTTATTCCTCTTTGGATTTAAAACTAGGACCTTCAAACACTTTTGACCTTTGAAGCCCAAGTTCAAACCAATCAAGCACCACCCTTATGGTGTCTTTCTCTGCCATTTTAGTTGATAACATGGAGATTATCAATTATAAGATAGTGAAAAGTCCAACAACATAATTAAATTATTTACCCAATTGTACAAATTATGTTCAAGTTATATCATCCTTCTACTTAGATAATGAGGGTTAACTTTCAACATGAAGGTTATCCAAAAACCCCTCTTAAAATTACACATATATTTTTACTCTAAATCAAAGTAAAAACCCTCTTTTTATGTTATAAAAATACAAAGTTAACATACAAGTTTATATATGAAAAAGACATTTTGAAGTCAAAAGTCAATATGAAAATTTTCCTAAACGCTTACCCGGTAAGTACTTATCAGATAATTTTCCTCACCCGATGAATATGGCAAGGGCCAAGAATTTTACTCGGTAAGAATGATGATAAGGATGGAGAGTCTTACCCGGTAAGTGAGGGTGCCGACTATTATCCGGATAAGCGCTTACCAAAAAAATTGTTGCATGAAATATGTTTTGATGTACTACAACTTTACCCAATAAAACTTTACCCAATAAAATAAATTATAGTGTTGACTCCTAACGATAAGCACTTACCGGGTAAGCATTTAGATAAACAGCCCCTTAGATCAAACCAAACCGAAAAAAACGTATCATCTAACTATATTAACTGATTGCTAAAGTGGATGGAATTTTAATATTTAAAACCGACATCATGATCCACATGAAATTCTTGAAGCTTCAAAGGAAAACCATTTTAACCTGTAAACATATATATTACATATGAGTTGGATTCTCGTAAACATCGACTATTGTGTGTGTCGTCATGACGTTAGTCGCCACCACTGGTCCACTGTCGTCTGTATTATAGAAAACGTATGTACCTCAAACTTTAACAGCTCCAGGACTTTTAGTATTTATCAAAATGTATGCCACCGGCCACCTTCAAAGCAAAGCAAACAAACCCACGTTTCCACCCTTTATTCCGCCATTCAGACTCTTCCCTTTTTAACTTTTAATACCTGAATTCCATCTGCATTCCAGAACCTTCCCCTCCATCTTAGTTTCATTGTATATACCAAAATGCATTAATTTGGGACACAAATTAAATACCCATTTTCAACACCCAAATCTTGGACAAAAACTAATTATAATACGAGTCGTTACATTTTTAAATGACGAACAACGTACGTAGGACATATACAACTCGTTACTTATATATTATCTTCTTTAATTAAACCCTAAACTCTAAACTTCAAAGTGTTCGAATATTTCATGGGTTCTTCTAATTTGATTTAGTTTGGTTTGCAAAACGTAGGTGGGTGAGAAAATAAAACCCGACCCATCAAATTATAAACGGATCGACCAAAGAAAGGAACCGAAGAATACTTAAACCGGTATAATTATGGGTACAATTTGACGGTTTTCGGTGGTTCACCTGAACGACAAGAAACAGTTATTTTGGGAGAGTTGTTTTTTTTGACCCTTCGAGAGTTGCGCCACCGCCAACCTCAAATTCGACAACATTCGACCACCGTAGCAAGGTGGCAACACCTACAGGGATATATAACATGCAACAACACTCCACTCACACGTACCCAATGGCGGTGCAAAATAAGATACTAATAAAAATAAGAGACTAAACCATGTGTGGTTTGATAAAAAGAAAAAGCTATAAATCATATAATAAATAGATAAATCTAATTATTGTAGACGTCATCATTATTGATTTTTTGATTATTATCATATTATTATATATCCAGTAAAATCATATCAGTAACGCGAGTGTTAATGGCACCCCTTAATAGGGGGTGTTGAATGTCTTGGAAATTGAACTTACTTTAAATCCATTAAATGTCAAACTCAAACATAGGGGCGGGCTAAATGCACCCCTATACATTGTTTAATGCACCCCTATCCATGAATTTCTTCCTCACACACATCAAAATCAATATATGCTTTTTACATTCCCAATGCTTGAATGACCTGATTCTGACATCAAAGGGGGTGCCATTAGCACTCCCCCAAACATATTATATTTTCTTATTATTCTACTTATTATTATTTTATACACACACACATACACACACAAACACACACATATATAGATATATATATATATATATATATATATATTAGTAGAAGGGTACTCGTACAATGCAGCGAGATACATTTTGATATTAATATTTCATTTTATTTTTTATTTCAGTCGATGTTATAATATGGTCTTATATGATTTTGTGAAAGCGATAATGTTTTTATTTTTGAATAAAATATAAATTTAAAAATATCATAAAATTTTGAAAAAAAAATAATATCGATATCAGTATTAAATTAATCTTTTTAAAGATTATTGTGTTTTGGTGTAATTTTCTTAATTAATTTTTTTTAATCATTATTTAGTTTAGGTTTAGTAACAAAGAAATTTAATTTAATTTATAATGATTATCTTAATTATATTTTAGATTTTTTATATTTAAAATGATATGTTTATCCAATATTTGATTATGTTTATCTACATTTAGTTAAACGAATTCAAATATGGAGCTTTAATAAGTTGTACTTATGCACAATTTACTTGTAATCTTAAATTTTAAGTAATATGCATCAATAAACAGTACTTCGTGCATAAAAAATCGTTTTTAAGAGTTTTTGTCAAATGCTTTATAATATAGTATAGATACATAATTTTCATTTATACTTTTATATTATTATATATATATATATATATATATATATATATGCATTAGTATTAGAAGTTTATCCTAATTATTTAAATATTTTTAAAATTATCAATTTGAAAGTCATTTTTTATGAACATAATATAAATACAAGTTTCGATTAAATTTAAATTGTTTTCAGTAATTGTAATATTATATTCAAAACCATGCTAAAAATATAGTGACTTTAAAAATGTAATTGTTTCTACTCCGTTTGTTGCTGCATGGACTACCGCGTATTCATCTTGTAGGTTCAGTTTTCAAAGGAAGATAAAAAAGATAACCAATGCATCAAAACACATGGGTTCATGAAGTAGTTGTTAACAAGACTACTCACCCTTGTTGATGATAAACTTTTCATAGAACTTCAGGTTGATCCGTCTTTTACAACTCATGTTGATCCGTCTTTTACAACTCATGTTGATCCGTTTTTTAAGTTGAAAGACCTCTTAGACGTAGTTGTTGAATAAGTAAAAATATAATATAAATATGTCTTATTTATATGTCAAATCTTATTTTTTATGTTTTATGTTTTATTTTTATAATTATATAATTATTTAAAAAAAATAAT